TAGATGGAGTAATTGTGGAGACCTTCTATGGAGCTGTAATAGATATGACATTCTGCATGTGTGATTCCAATTAGATTTAGTGTTTTTTATGAAGTTGTCCATTACCCTTTTTAATTTATTAAACAGTCCTTTAATGTTTATCTAATAGTATCCAGTTAGAAGAACCTCTACGTAGGATTCCTACGTAGAAGTTTATCTAATAGTCCTTTTAAGTTTTCCTCTTCTCTCGTTTTTTAACATTGAAATCTCATGTTTAGTGAAGCTTGACTTCTGTTCTCATAGGAATTTGAGGATCTTATTTTTGGAAGAGAGCTCAATAAAAGATAACGATGGACAATGGTTGCATGAGCTTGCTTCGAACAACACGGTTCTTGAAAATTTAAACTTCTACATGACTGAGCTCGCGCAAGTCAGTTCTAGAGACCTTAAACTGATCGCGAGAAATTGTCCGTCTTTGGCCTCGATGAAAATTAGCGAGTGTGATATTTCACACCTCGTCGATTTTTTCAGAACCGCTACTTCATTGGAGGAGTTTGGTGGGGGCTCCTTTAGTGATCCTCCTGGACAGATTGGTGAAGGTGTTTTCAATGAGCAATTGGAAAGATACAGTGGCGTTGTATTCCCACCGAGATTATGCGGCTTGGCTCTCACTTATCTTGGCAACACACATATGCCCATTCTCCATCCTGTTGCTTCAAGGCTTCGAAAGTTGGATCTCCTTTATGCTATGCTGGACACTGAAGGCCTTTGTCTCTTGCTGCAACGATGTCCCAACTTAGAAATACTCGAGGTAAAGTTTTGAGACACTGGTTAAAGCTTAAGGGGGCGATTGTTTCTAATTTCTACAGTAAAAAACTAATCAAAGCTTAAATTTAACTCAACTTTAACCCAATCTCACTATCTCATAATATAATTAAATAATATTAACCAATCATTCTTACGAATCACATCAACTTTAATTCACTATTCATCCACTCACATAATTTTAACTAACTATCACTTCCAATCATTTTTCTCTTACTTTACATCAAATCAAAATTAATTATTTTATTTAAATATTATTTTAATATATCCACTAACAACTAACCATACCACATTTTTTCAAAATTAAATTTCAATAATTTTTCTCTTACTTTACATCAAATCAAAATTAATTATTTTATTTAAATATTATTTCAATATATCCACTAACAACTAACCATACCACCTTTTTTCAAAATTAACTATAGTTAAAAAAACAAACCAAATAAAATCTAGTTGAATCCATAAACAATCACCCCCTAATCATTTCAGATTATGAACTGTTTATGTGAATGTGGCTTTTCACATTAACAGACGAGGAATGTCATCGGAGACAGAGGACTGGAAATACTCGCCCAATTCTGCAGGCGAATGAAACGCCTCCGAATCGAGCGCGGGGCAGACGAGGAAGACATCGAGGAAGGTGTCGTGTCCCAAACAGGACTCATTGCCTTAGCTCGTGGCTGCCTCGAGCTCGAGTACCTCGCCGTTTACGTGTCCGACATCACCAACGCATCCCTCGAATGTGTCGGGGCCCACTCCAAGAACCTGCGCGACTTCCGCCTCGTCCTCCTCGACCGCGAGGAGCAAATTACCGATCTGCCCCTCGACAATGGGGTCCGGTCACTTTTAATGGGCTGCAGCAAATTGAGACGGTTTGCACTCTACCTCCGGCATGGCGGGCTGACTGACGTGGGCCTGGGCTATATTGGCCGTTACAGCCCGAATGTGAGGTGGATGCTGCTCGGGTTTGTGGGTGAGTCGGACGAGGGCCTGCTCGAGTTCTCGAGGGGTTGCCCGAGTTTGGAGAAGCTTGAAGTGAGGGGTTGCTGTTTTAGCGAGCGTGCGTTGGCTGAGGCGGCGGTACAGCTGGCGAACCTGAGGTATTTGTGGGTTCAGGGGTACCGAGGGTCGGGTGATGGGCGGGACCTGATGAGTATGGTGAGGCCGTACTGGAATATTGAGTTGATACCTGCGAGGCAGGTTTATGGTGATGGCGGGATGATTGTGGCGGAGGACCCGGCTCATATCTTGGCGTATTACTCGCTTGCTGGCCAGAGGATGGATTTTCCGGCGAGCGTGATGCCGTTCAACCCGGATAGGCTTCTCAGTGCCNATTATTATTATTATTATTATTATTATTATTATTATTATGTAATAAATTACTTGCTTTCTTTCTTGAAGGCGGTATTTGTGTTGATGAATATTGAGGCGTGGAATTCTTATTGGCGTATGATTTAAAATCAACTACCAACTTTTATATCAAAACCAACCTTATCCACCCTAAAAAATTATATTTGTTCCTATAACTCTTCATCCTAATTCAACAAGAAACCCGAGGGTAGCAAGTGCCTGCCTTTGTTCTCTAGCCCAGGAAAATCGTAAAAAGCAATGGGACCAATTAACAATGCAGTTGAAGTTTTGGCGACCCAGAGATAAGGATATGGGCTAATAGAGTTTGGTGGTCCATTAGGAGTTTTCATAGTATGTTACCAGATTGGAACGGTCTCCTACTGCAAAGCAGTTTTCCAGGATATGGGCTTATAGAGTTTGGTCCATTAGGAGTTTTCGTAGTATTTTGCCAAGATTCGAACGGTATCCTACTGCTAATAGTTATGTCTTGATTCTGCATTTTTTTNCAATAAGATAAAAAAATCCTTTTTTTTTTTGGTTATTATTGTACACGTTGTTCGCTTTGCTACTTGAATCTTCAACTTTAAGCTCTTGACTCAATTGATCAATATTTTAAAATATTTATATCGTATAAAATTAATAATTATTTTTATATATTTTATGATTACATCTATTCAAAATCTAAATTTTTAATTTTATTTTTCACTTTTTATTCCCTATATTGGAAATGAAACATTTTTTTTTTAATAAAAAATTGCATCCAATTGCCACCTAATGTTTATTTCACCTGTTAAATACTGCATTCTCCCAATTTAGGGACGTAATTTGTATCTAGTTCATATCCACCATTTCTCATTGTCTAGCCAATGAATATAAATCTATTAAACGATAGACTTGTTTCTACCGAGGGGTACATATTCTCTTATTATCCATTGGTATCTATTGATATTCGGAATCAACAACACATGATTACGATAAATACAAAATCTATAGTAATATAAAGAGGTTGATGGAAAAATACAAAAATAGTATGTTTGACTTGAAAAATAAAGTTTTGACTTACTAATTTAAGTAACACCAATGGGGCCCACGCGTTAAAATTAAATTTAAGTAATAAATATCTCATAGCAAAATTAGTTCAGATTTTCTTAACCAATCTCAACAGATTCTGTGGGATTTTATTCTTAACCAATCTCAACAGATTCTGTGGGATTTTATATGTTCACAATTTTCATAATTACTACAAGATCTTGAAGATAATGATCGAAATTGTCTTACCAAAATTATCGGATTTTGTTAGCTATATTGGTAAGATTTTGATTGCCTTACCAAAATTATCAGATTTTGTTAACTATATTGCTAAGATTTTGATTAATTTTATATATGAATTGTTACCAATTTTCCACGATAACTGCAGATTTTTAGGGCAACTTCAAAATTGACGATTTGGACGACTTTTCACATTTGTTTGGATTTTTTTTTTTTACCAACAGATATATGATCCGATTTTGTAGGATTGTATTTGTTCACAAATTTCTTAATTACTACATATTGCATCGAAATTGTCCAAATATTTTTGCCAACTCACCATAAGCAAAATCAAGTAAATCGGATAGGATCCGACGGGATATTGATCATATCACAATAAAAAATATCGGATAGCTGTTGAATCTGACGGCATATTAATCATATCACTATAAATATCCTATCTTTCTAATGCATTCATCGTATTATTACATTCAAACTCATACTCTCGGTTCCTTCTACATAAAATAAAAAATAAAAGAACGCATTCACTCTAATGTTACTTTGAATGAATCACAAATAACTGGGCAGCACATACAAATCGTATTTTGAGATTAGCAATTTTCTTTTTTTTTTGTTCAATTCATCCAATATCTAATGCCGACATTCTTTTTTTTTGTTTTTTCGGCAGACGTACAGACTGACGTATAGACTGACTCACAGATTTGTGTGTGAAGAACCTTCAAGTTGTGAAGAACAGAATTGGATGGAAAAGCAATAACGACGACATTGTTCACAACATCATCAGAAAACGAATGTTGTAAGTTTTTTTTTTTTTTTTTTTTTTCTACTTCCTGTGTAAAGATGAACTTATTTTTTACTACAGTATACTTACTATTTCATGTTTAATAGCAACAAACACAAGGATGAGTGGACATCTAGCCTACATAATGGAAGGGAAAACAGCAGATAGAGAAAAGAAAGGAAAAACAATAGCAGCTACAGACCTCATAACACACTTCATGGAATTCAGATCAACAGAAGCAGATTTTATGACAAAACTCAAATAAGTACCTTTAAATTTTATTTTTTTGTTTTACCTTTATTGTTAACACTGAATTCTATATTTTATGCATGAAAAGAATATGAAAAAAATTTGTTTTTCAATGAAATCTATCTATTTTATATTTACCTTTGTTTACCTTTAAGTTTGTTGTGAATCTGTTAACTTTTATACGATTACAGACTCAACATAATTCTTAATAGTTGCTATCAAACATGGCAGGTTATGAATTTTAATGATATAGTTTTACTAATAAAAACATATGCATACAATCAATAGAATGTCATAGCCGATGTTTAGTGTTAATATGACTGTAGTTTACTGATATACAAACTTATTCTAGAAATCTCTTGGATGCAATGATATATCTTCATGATATGATAATCAATAACATTACTTTAGTACTAAAACAAAGGTAATCATCAAAGGACAACAAGAGCCAGTCATTACTGTTAACAGGGTTATAGGTAAACTATGATAAGACCATAATTACAGTTATTGATATCCCAACACTCATTATAGTAACAACCCAAATGTTGAGTAAATAATAATCATTAAAATTACAGCATATACATATAACTCAGTGATATACCAAATACCAATAGACAAATTGTACATTCTTCATATAGTTCAAGAAGTTTGTTTCATAGTACAAAACAATGATACATAGATAATCATATGATAAATTTTTAAAGAAAACAATATGTTTTTTTCAATTACCTTATTTTTTGCTCCAGTTTCTGAATCATTAATGAAGTATAGCAAACTGTCGACTCCTGAAGAATCCATTTTTTATTTGTTAGTCATCTATTTAAGAACAAACAACAATACAGATCTGAATTAGTATTTGAAATGGTATCAATGTTCCAAAAACACATAATTTTGATGTGCACATTAGTTTCAGTCAGAACAGTGACAACAAATCGATATAGAACTTAAAATATTAAATATTTACAAAGTATTGCAAACATAATCGTTCGTAATAGTAGTTTTCATGTTACTTTTTCTTAGAACTTTCTGATTTTGAAAGATATTCGAATGAACAAACAAGATTCGTATGTGTTTTTGGATCAAATGTTCGACATTCTAAAAAATAAAAAATTTAAGAAACAAGACACACTAAAAAAATGTGAAGTACAGTTACTGTTCAAATTGAATTTTAAAAATCGGTCTGAAATCTAATTAAATACCAGATCTAAAACTTTTTATAAATAAAATTATATACTTTAGTAAAATATCGATACTTCATTTCTGGATTTCATTTTTTTGGACACAAAACTTTCGGATTTGAAAGAAAATTCAAAAAAATAAACCAGATTCATCATATATTTTAATAAAATTCACAGAAAATGATAGCGAACTGCAAAAACCATAAAAAATATCCATAAATTGAAAAAACAAATCCATGAATAGTAGGCTGATCTATAATATCTATGAACAATGAGTTAGTAGATCTGGATACGGTAAAGGAAAAACGACCTTCAATTTTTATACAATAATCCCGAATACAAAAATTAAAAAAAAAACTAAAAAAATGAAAGACCTCAGTCGTTCATAAAATTTTTGAATCGGGTGTGTCATACATATTCATCAGATCATATTCGACTGAAATTCTTATCAAACTCGACTAACATTAACTCAAATCGATGAAAATGAAAAAAAAAATAATAAACTGAAAAAGCCCATATCAAGTTTTTCGAATCCGTGCTCAAAACAATATGCATCATGTCGTAATCGACATAGATTCTCATAAAAATCTATTATCATGAGCTGAGTTCGTTCAAAATTAAAACAAAAATAAAAAAATAAAATAAAACGAAAGGTCAGGTGAAGGGTCGAGAAAGATGAATCGGTGGGAGAGAGAAGTGAGAAGATGCTGAGAGAACAAATGACAAACCCTAAAAAATTGGGTTTTTTTACCTTTTATAGCATGCTTTATTGATTTCAGGCCGTTAGATATTGTTTGACTAATATTAGCCGTCCGATTGGCTAATAGTTGTTTATGAACCGAGTTTAATCAAATGATAATGGATCAGATTTTTTGAAATGTATTGGGCCCTGTTCGGACGGAATCATTAAAATTTTAATAATGGACCGACTTTACACCACTACTAATGCACAAACTTTACTTTAATTATATATTTAATTTAATGGTATTTCATTTTTTTAATCAGTAAATGTAAATTCATAAATCAAAACTGGTGTACAAACGACCAAAAGTCGGCATACAAAAGCACAATAAGGAGCCATAATCTCGGCTCCCCATTGGCCTATAAATCAAAAATGGTATATCATTGGCTTATTGTTAACAAATCTTGGATTTTGGTAAAAAGTTTGATCTGATTTTAATAACAAATCTCGAATTTTGTTAACAAAATTGATCTGATTGTGATAACAAATCTCGGATTGTGATAACAAATCTTTTAAGATATCAGTTTTTCTTTGGTAACACGCTTCACAGTTTTTTTTTTTTCCCAAAACGACAGATAATATTATAAATCAAAATGCACAAAGTGCGAATACACGCTTCATAGTTATTTACACACAATATATTGTCGATAATCTTTGGGATTTCTTTTGGTAACAAATTTCACAATTTTTTCGATTGTTTGAAGTTAAATATTGCAGAAAAAATCTAGAGATTTGATAAATGATACATATCAAAATAAAAATATTATTTTTCAATCAATACAAAAAGCCTTACCAAATTAAATTGTAAAAAACTCCATTAATTTTGGTAAACATTATGTCACATTGATATGACACATAATCTTCAAAATAAAAATTTAATTGTTGATTTACTAATATAAACAATATCAATGGGTCCCACATGTCAACAAATTTAATCGGATTTTTATAACAAATCTCGAATTTTGGTAACAAATTTGATCTGATTGTGATAACAAATCTCGAATTTTGATAACAAATTTGTTAAAATATTGGTTTATTGATAACACATTTCATAGTTATTTATACATAATATATTGCCGATAATCTTGGGATTTCTTTTGGTAACAAATTTCACAATTTTTTGGTATTGTTTGGAGTTAAATATTGTAGAAAAAATCTCAAGATTTGGTAAATGATACATATCAAAATAAAAATATTATTTTTCAATCAATCCAAAAAGCCTTACCAAATTAAATTGTAACACACTCCATTAATTTTGGTAAATATTATATC